GCCAGGGAAGGCTGCTTGAGGCCTGAGCTCTATGCTCACTCTAACCCAGGGGTCTTCAAACCTGGCCCTTTTATGACTTGTGGACTTCAATTCCCCTGTGCCCCTGCGTCCCCTTATTTTAAATAGATGCATCAATAAACAAACCGATAAAAGAAAAGCTAGGGAAAAAAGGCGTTCAACTAAAATTCTGCCTATCCGTTTTACAGCTTGGGTCCCTCCACACGGATTGTGCCTGCATATCCCAGAATTCTCGTCCTTGAGGCCCTGAGCCTGAGGGAGGATGGCGAGTGAAAACAAATGGATGTATTTTATTAGAAATGGAACCACATAGCAGAACAATCCTAGCTGTGTCCTTGCACTGACAAGGTGAGTGTGGAAAGGACCAGATTCACACTTACATGCTTATAGTCAAAAATTGTATCAGAAGAGCAGGCTCCCTCGTGGACATGGATGTTGGCTATTTTCTTCTCATTGTCTATGGTGACCGTCTGCTGGATGTAATCACCATTCGGGCTAGGGATGCTGTAAACCTGAACATGAGAGAGTTTACTTTTCAGTGAAATGCAGAATCCAAGAGACGGGTGGTTCTTGATTTAGATAAGATGGGACTGACTGGTGGCCATTGACCAAAATATCATACCGTAAACCAAACAACCAAGCATATACTAAATAAAACTAAGGTATTAATGGGTAACGTACACAGCTACTTATATGATGGGTAATAAATCTTATTTATTCCCCAAGTTTCAGGTCTAGGTGTACTGCTCTAAAGAAATAGATCTGGCTTATACACCCGTCCCTGTTTTAAAGTGTCATAGTTGGGTATGTACTGAATATCTGCATGATTTTACAGATTTTATCTTGGTTCCACCTTTGAATTTTTTGTTCATAGTAAAGCAGAGGTGATTACCTGGAAGGAAGCAAAGGCTGCATTCCAGAAGAATCCCAGCAAAATGAACGTTGCTGCCTGGAAAGGAAAGAAATAAGGTAGTGGTCAGAAGGAGAGCAGCTCCATCTGAACGATGAATCTCCATGCAGGAATGTCTGAAAAATTTAACTTCAAGCTAGCCTGACTTGCATTCTTCCACAGAACTCAGTTACTTTGGGAGACCACACTTTTCCAACGTTTGCTACCAGCGCATATGGGGCCCACTTCTCCTTCTTTTGGTCCACATTGCTGATGTCTCCTGGCCCTGTGGCTTTCTACACAGGAACTGTCTCGAGATAGGAAGGATTGAATGCAGAGCTTCCTGTGTGTAAGCAGGTAAGCCAACCTGAGCTTTAATTCAAAGCATGTTCCACTGCACAATTGATTTCCTCAAAACAGCATATCTATAGCCAAATACTTTCCTACACAAGTGTCAGTGCAAAGTATAATAATGGGACTTCAGCAAAAGATTCATCAGATTAGCAGGGAGTAGGACTAGAAGACCTTCAAGGCCCCTTCCAACCGTATTATTCTACATTCTGTGCTCTAGCTTGTCCACCAGACCAGTTCGTAGGAGACTTATAGGTCACTTGGTATTTCAGAAAACAAAATGTCTTAGGCCAATACTAATGTTGGAACTTCCAAAGGCCATTTGAACATTATCTAACTGTTGCCCCTCAAAATGCCTCCTATTGCTGAGAACAGCTGGTCTTGGGCTAAGGCTAAGCTCTCCCAATGCATTGCAGGGCATGTTCTGGCAAAACGTGCCTTCACTGCTCTCCCCAAGCTAACCAACACATGGCGAACATCTCCTTCATTTCCTTAAGAGTAGTCCTCCTTCCCTAGACAATCCACATTGGTCTCTAAATATTTGCTAGCTTTTCTTAAGAAGAATGTGTCAAATATACTCACAAGCCTGTTCATTTTTCTTCCAGCTAAGAGAAAGAGTCTGAGATGTAAGTGGAATAAAATTCCAGAAACATTGAACATTTATATCTGGACTGTAGGTGTGAACATTTATATCTGGACTGTAGGTGTGCACAGAAATCTGCCCTGGGTACTTGTGGGGCACACCCTGTTAGATAGCTTTATTTGAATTTTGGGCTCAGCAGATATCCAAGCCCTGATACTGCTGAGCACATTAGTCATGGGTGCATAATTTCACATCTGTCAATTTGCAAATACCAGTTACCCTCTCCCAGATTATTTGGATATATTTTTAATATCAGAAAAGTGCTCGACCTGTCCTTCTGGTTTGAATTTTGCTTAGCAGCATAAATGGGGTCAACAGTAAGTAAAAAATGTAAGGACTTCTGGGGTATCCCTAAAGAGGGACAAGGATGGATCAATGTTCTAGACAGGCTGCCAGGAACCAGGTGAGGCCCCCAAAGAACCCCCAGGTTCTGCTCCTTATTGCTAACAAGCCCACCTCACCACCCCCATGGCCTCTTTCGACCTCATTGACCCTTCTTCTCTGCATATGTGTGCAGGTCGCTCTTTGGTTCCTCTCACACAACAAACTTAATTAGATACAATACTGACCCATTCCAATCATTTACATAAAGCACTGAAAGCCTGGGATGGGCTGTCACAAAAACCTAAACCACATGAAACCTAACCAGAGCTAATACTAACTAAGGTTGTGTGAATGCCTTCCTTAGGCTTTTATATGAGATATGGTTAAAAATATGGGAAGATATGTGATGAACTTGGGATAGTTTTTCTCATATGATTGGTTATGTTCTTCAAGTCATTGTTGACCACATAGATAGGCTTTCTCCATGATTACCTCTTCCCAAACTGGTCCTTCAGCTCTTCCAATGGTGCCCCATCACCATGGTAGCCGAGTCCATCCCCCTTGCTGCTGGCCATCCTTTTTCCTTCCTTCCACTTTTTCCAGCATTAGAGACTTCTCTACAGAGCTGGATCTTCACATAATGTGTCCAATGTAGGATAATGTGAGCCTGGTCATCTGTGCCTCAGGTGAGAACTCTGGATTGATTTGTTCAATGATCCATCGGTTTGTTTTCTTGGATGTCCATGGTGTTCCAACACCAAAATTCACATCCTGGCATCTGACTATCTTTTCCAAGGCCTTCATGGTTTTCCAAGTCCTTGTCTGTAAGGCATTTCTTGACTGCTTGTTCCTTTACCATTGATAGTTGACCCTAGAAGGCAGATGCTCTCCAACCCTTCAGTGTCAATTCGAAGGCTTCATTTATCTGGAACCCAAATGTGAAAAGATGGAACCACTACAAGTCTCTCTCTGAGCTAAAATATGAATGGTTAAATAATTAAAAGCAAATTCTGTAATATTTAATAGGTTAAAGACTTCTTATGTGCCCCCATCCACTTTTGCACTGATGTCCCTGACTCAAGGAAATGCAATCTCTTTTACTTGGTTCCCCCAAAATTGGACAACTCCCCCCAAAAAAGAATTACACTGCCATACATCAAGAATAACTCAGAAGCTGCTTGCTCCAAGGGATTTTGAAAGATCCTGTCTTGAATGGGCTTTTCCAGGTAGTATTTGCTCATGAATGGGGCCTCAGTCTTTCTGAATGGGACTATCAAATCTGCATTTCTACAGAGCTGGCCTCTGCCTGGGGCTATTAAGGAAACTGGGCCTGCTTTTCTGCCTTTAAGATCCTTTGGGGAAATATAATATTCTGCCTTTTTTAATATTCCCCAAAATATTTCCTTCTGGGGGGGGCTGACTTCCCACAGGGGCAGACCCAGCCAATGGTAATTTATACAACACATACCTAGAGTCGCTTGATAATGAGATGGGTGGCATACAAATTTAACAAACAAACAAAATGTAGCTTGTAAACCATGTTTTCTGACTTAGTGTGAGATAAGCCTATGATAGCATAGCCGACAAACCATGATTAAAACAAATCATAAAGTAGAATAATGAACAAGCCTGGCAATCTGACACTCACATGCACGTACTCTTTGAATGGGAAAGAGTGGTTTCCTCCCAAACCAACAGCAAAGGCTAAGCAAGAATGGGTCAAGTATATTTGGGCAGCATCTGGCTAATTGGCTGCAGGTTGCCAACCCTAGTTTTAAAGGGCCATTCAGAATACCCCGACTTACCTTTCATACAAAACACATCTTCTTTAGAACTGTTTTTTTCCTTAAAAATAGACTTTCAGCTATGTTTTGAATGGATGTATAAGTAAAGTAGAATGGTTGATTTTAGAACCATAGAACCTGGAAAATCTCTTAGAAATCATCTAATCCTCCAGCCACCCCAGTCAAATGGCTATCCAAATTTTCCTTGAAAACCTGCAGTGATTGAGCCCTCATAACTCCAAGTTATGGCAGCTATCCCATTGTGTAATACAGTGCTTCTTCAGATGTGTGGACTTCATCTCCCAGAATTCCCCAACCAGCAAGAGAATGCCAAATTCGATTTCTTCTTTTTTTTCAAATGATTTATTGAATAAAAAAAAATCCCAGTAAAATATAAAATAACACAAAGGGAGGAGATGGCGGGTGAAAAAAGGGAAAATTTTTAAAAGTAACAAAAGATACATAGAACAAATACATAAAAAGAGTGAGTTATGATTTTTTTTCACTACAGATCCAGATATATAAAAAATAAACCTTTACTCTAGATTTCAGTCAATACTTAATAACCCATATAAAAATAATACAGGAAAAATATCCTCTTATTTTAAATTTGACCAGTAAGTAAATTAAAAAAAATTTCCTTCTATGTCTTTCTTCTACCTATTGATGCTGGTTCTGTTTTCAAACACCATTAGGAATAAATTCATTTTTATGTCCATTCCTATTTTTTAAAAATTGTGTTTATTTTCTGGGATTATATTTAGATTTAATTAATTAAACATTTTTAAAATGACAGACCCTGCCCATGTGTGTTGAAGATAAATTTATCTGGTTCAGCTTATCTGTAAGGTGTCACCCTTGGCATATCCTATGCCAGCCAAAGGGCACAGCCTTGCGTGGAGATACTGAGGCATATTTCAATCCTGGGAAATCTGGTATATAAAGTGCAAGGGTCCAGCTTTGTTAGTCTTGCATTTCTTCTAGTGACAAAATGAAGCTGGTTGTAAGTATAGACATTTTTCATTTTCGGGTGCCTTACCATTTACTAGAGTAACATGAAAGCAGTATTTCAATATTTGAGACGCTGTCACAGAGAGAAAGGGGTTAACTTATTCTCCAAAGCATCTGAGGGCAGGATAAGAGGTAACAGGTGGAAACATATCACAGAGAGATCCAACCTAGAACTAAGGAGAAATTTCCTATGAGAACAATTAACCAATGGCACAACTTGCCTTCAGACGTTATGGGCGCTCCATCACTGGAGGTTTTTAAGAAGAGACCTGGACAAGCAGGGGGTTGGAATAGAATAGAATAGAATAGAATAGAATAGAATAGAATAGAATAGAATAGAATAGAATTGGAAGGGACCTTGGAGGTCTCCTAGTCCAGCCCCCTGCTCAAACAGGAGAACCTATACCCTTTCAGACAAGTGACTGTCTAGTCTCTACAAGTGACTGTCTACAAGTCTAGAAGACTGACTAGAAGATCTCCAATAACCTGTTATTCTGTACGATGCTGCTAGCAAAGTCCATCTCACATAATCTGTAGTCAAAACTGTATCCAATTTACAGGTAGAAAAACAAGGGGGGAAAGTTGGTTCTTCAGAGGATTCTCAATTCATGAAGAGAGGTGGTTATTTATTTTTTTCACAAAGGGAGGGAGGGATAGTTCCAAGTATCTCCTGGTGGGAATCAGGATAAGTGACTTGAAAAGCATGGATTAGAGGCCATAATCAGCCCAAAAGGTATACCTCTTCCATGCTCATTACTGTCCCTTGAACACCTTTGCATTTGATGTTCTTATGCTAAATATCAGGGGCCCCAGAATGCTTCTCCTGAAAATGACACATGAGTTGTCTTGGGAGAGCCAAGAAGTGACCCATGAGATTGTGAACAGGAAAGCATCTTTTTCAGTTTGAAAATGCCAGCGGAATCTCTAATGGTGCATAACCTTGTTTAGATAATAAAGCAGGCATATCTACATATAGTCCTGAACTCCAAGCTGCCAATGCTTGGTATTTCTAGAGGGATTTGGCACAGTCATTTAACATGACCATTAAATCAGGGTGCAAAGTGACCATGATTTTTTAAATTTGAAATTTGTTGCTTCCATTTCTAAATATTCTCTCTCTCTCTCTCTCTAATTGCCAAACTGTTTTTGAAATCCATTCCAGATTCTGAGTGTGGTGTTTCTAGGAGTTTTCCTAGCCCCAGTTTTGACCAACAATGTAAGTACCATTGTATAGTATTATTGCAAACAAATGTGTTTTCTTTCTAATGAAAGTAATTCGATTTTTACTTTTGTTTTTTATGAAGTTAAAAACAGTATCTAACTGAACTGAAGGATAAAATGATCTTGTGTGTCCTTTTAATCGTTGCAGTTAGACATTCAAAGTTCTGGCTGAAGTGGCTGGTGTTTGTGTTTTTCCCATTATTGCCATACTTGGCAAAGCCACTTTGAATTTTTCTAGGCTGAAAACAGGATAAAAATGATTAAAAGAAATAAAAATAATGTTTTCAAAGACGTGCTTTTCCACAATCTGTGAATTAATTCACCCAATTGGGAATGAGAGAAAGGATAAACCACAGTTCTGGAGGCGCTAAGCAATATTCTTCTAAAGTCTGAGAAAAAAAGTTTAGCAGACTTGTAGCCATCTCTTTCTGGTATCAATTGGAGCACATCCCATCTTATATTTTATTTTTCAGGAATATAAGAATAGGTTTTCAACTATTGTTCTTTATCTTTCCTCCCCAAGATCGTTGAAAACAACCAGGGAAATGTTGGAGGGACTTCACATCAATCTGTGAACATTGATCACAAAAGGCAGGTGGTGAACATAGACAACAACAACGGCTGGAATTCTTGGAGCTCCGTCATGGATTACCATACTGTAAGAAACACTTTTATTCCCTTGAGATGACTCTTCCTTCTCCAGCATGAGCTGTAAGCCTCTGCAAATCTTTGCTTCAATGACTTCCCTTCAAAGCTGGGGGGCTGCAGAATGGCGCCTGCTTCTAAAGATGCAAAAAACTGCCTTAATTACTTCTCCCCCCCTTTCATTTATTTGTTTTTTTGTTGAATTCAAGGCAGTGAATACACCTAGTGCTCTTACTTCCTATTTTCCAAATAAGCTTGTGAAGTGGTTTAGATTGAGAGAGGGATTGGCCCAAAGTCACCCATTAGCTCCGTGGCTAAGGTGGGACTAGAATTCACCATTTGCTGGTTTCTAGCCTTTAACCACTACACCAAATTGCCTCTCCCTTGCTTCATTTCAAGTCCCACCAGTAGCCTCTTCAGGGACTCTCAGTTATGGGGTGAAGAAATAGCGTTCTTTCCACAAATGGTGCACCTTGTCAAGGCCAGGCACAATTTGCTGCAGTTTGTAAGTCCTGTAGCTCAATTTCTCCTCACTTCTGAGAAAGTGGACCTAACTGGGATCTTATGATCTAATGGGAAGGCTCAGGAAACTAGATATTTTCTTTCTCAGCTTCAGATTCTTTGGCATAGTTGTCATTTTTCGCCTTCTCGTTTTGCTTCGATAGGGTTTCATGGCAACCCGACTATTGTCCAAGAAAGCCTGCTTCATCGTCAGAATGAATAAGCAGATTGTGCCAGAAATAACTACTCTTCCCAAAGCCATCCGGGAAAAGCAGGTAAGGATAGGAAGATCTGGGAAGTAGGTCCATCTGGGCTCAGCAAAAGGGGACCACGAAGCGCCAAGGACACCTTACACACACCCCCTTCTCTTGATGCCTGCCAGCAGCAATACCCCGTCCCAAAGCCTTCAGTTTTAAAACTGAAAAAATCAACTTGATGCCAAGCGAACATCGGCCTCTGCCCATCGCTTTGATTCATAAGCAAGCACGAAGATGTCCACAGGGAGGGAGGGTAAAAAAAATCAAGATGGTTTTGCTGATTGATGTCCCGGTCTTTTTTAATGTGAGTTTTGCAATGAATGTGGCAGAATGGGACAACTCGCCAGGGCCAACGTGTCCTGGGACAATTCAACAATTCTATTTACGTGTTTAAAACAATTTTAGAAATATTTTAATTTTTGCCATTCACATTTCATTTGTCCCTCTTTTTGCATCCTTTCTTTAATTATTCTATTCCACCATTTCTTTGATATTAGCGTAACTTTTGTCCTGCAGCGAGTTGGCTGTGCCAACAACTTGGCCGTGGCGAGTTGGCCGTGGCAAACGGTGGAACGGTTTGCCTTCAGAAGTTGTGGGTGCTCCATCACTGGAGGTTTTCAAGAAGAGGCTGGACAGCCACTTGTTTCAAATTGAGCAGGGGGTTGGACTACAAGACCTCCAAGGTCCCTTCCAACTCTGTTATTCTGTATCTTGATAAGAGAGAATTTTTCCTGTGGCACAGATGGTTAAGGAAGGATTTGCTTGAGCTGAAGTCTAAAGGATGGCATGAAATCCCAGCCTCCCTGGTCCCTCTTCTCACTTTATTGCATGCTGATCATTGCCTCCGTCTTTGAACGCAGCCCTCCTCTTCCCTCCTTTTTTAGAAGGACCCTCGAAATGGACCTGCCCCAAAGGAGGTCTCCTTCACCGTTTCCCCTAAGACAATTCCAGACCTATCCGTCTACGGGAAGCAGGTGCAGACATTTTGCCGGGGGATCCCCAGCTATCTTGCTTCTGAAGTTAAAAGTAAGTATTGGCTTTGGGTTTCTTTGAATAAACCAGGGAGTGTTTGCAGAATTTTATACACCCAAGAATAAGGTGGGGGCAGAAAGGAAAGAAGGAAAGGAAAGAAGGAAAGAAGGAAAGGAAAGGAAAGGAAAAGGAAAAGGAAAAGGAAAAGGGAAAGGAAAGGAAAGGAAAGGAAAGATATTTATTTTGGTCAGTGACCAGATACAACAGAACTTATACAAAGTGAATACAGCAAAGAAAAAAAGAAGGGAGGAAGAAAGGAAACAAAAAAGGAAAACAACTGAGTTGACTGTAGATGGAGGAGTGCAGAAGCACCTGGATGTAGCCTTAGGATGATTTACAGAATGTTCCGAATGGCACCATTCTCTTCGTAGAAGTGATGTCAGTGTCATTCTCATGACTGGACTGGGTTCACACAACACACTGAAACACACACCCAGATTTTAAAGAGCCAGGCTACGTTCCCAAAGCATCGTTGGTCAAAGTGTATTAGGCATATCTGGGCTTGATGACTGGTTAAGTCAGAACCAGGCTGAACCCCCATCCACCTGGCTTTCCTTTAGCTAGTCCTGTGGAGTGTGTGAACCTGTCCAAGTTGTCCCAATGTCTTTCTTTCCAGAGCCCAGCTTTTTCTTCGCAAGAAGCGCCTGCACCCGACTGAACATCCTCTTCCTCTTCCACTTCTGCTACTGTCACGAAACCCTGATTGAGTAACTGTCGTCTCGGCAAACCTCAGCTTGTGATACGGGTGTCTTCCAATTTAGGATTTTAGTTGCATTATTTCCTTCTCTGCTCCCAGGGCAGAAAAGTGAGAGGGTGGCCAATTAAAAACACACATTGAACTCAGAAAACTGTGTCAGTTCTTGATTTGTCTCACTCCGATTACACCCGTTTTATGCTCTCCAACTTTCCAGCCTTTGGTTGTCTGCCTCTTCTCATCTTGAGCAACTTTCCCCATTACCTTTTTCAGCCATAGGGTCCTCCTTACAATTAATCTCTGGGTTAAAATGTGATTTTCTGAAGTCCAGGTTTTGTGTTTGGTCACGCCCAGATTTGGTTTCCCTCAAAATCAAGAATTCCAGCACCCTAGGATCATTTTTTGCCCCACGTTCTTGCTCTTTCCATTCCTTCAGCTAAGTCTTTCCTACTGGTTAATAGTCAGCCAAGGAAAGCTGATCCTCTTGTGCCTCCCTCCGTTCTCTGAAGGAGAAAGTTATCAGCAGGGCAAGTCAGGAATTTCCTGGAAGGACCATGCTTGGCGGAGCTGTCTCCCAAAAGATGTTGGGGTAATTAAAGTCTTCCATCCCGATGACGTCATGCCTCTTTGGAAGATCTGCAATTTGCTCTTGGAAGCATCATCCATATCTTGTCCTTGGTTGGGTGGGCAACGGTGCACGAGATTGCTTTCCCCCCCCAACTTAATTTAACCCAGATGCTTCCTGAATCATTGCCAATTTCATTCATTTAGATTTTCAAGAAGAAATTACTACTACTTCCATACGGAGTGACTTTTCTGTTGCTTGGGTTTCTTTTGAACCAGGGGCATCCTTGTAGCACTATTTTCCAACCATGGGAAACCAAATCTGCATTCTACCCATTCAATTCTATTTGCATTTCTGAACTAAGAGCTCAGTCTCTTAGTATGGAGTATTTTTCATGCCCTGAGTGCTGGTTGAAGGCAATGAAGGCCACAGATCTTTCCTGTTCTTGCTCTGAGGCCCCATTTCAGCATCCTTCCCATGAGTGTGTCGTGATTTTAATTTGATTTTTGTAGTGGTCTGTTCTAAACCACTCAGAGTCTTCAGGAAGAGGGTAGCCTCCCCCGTGGACACCCATTTAGGGAGCATATATGAACTCGTCAGGCTCAGACATCATGCCAAGTCAAAACATGGTTTGTTTAATTAATGAGTTCACTGTGTGTAGAGACAGTGCCAAAGATCACTGCTGCCCTGTAGGAATCAGGTCATTTCTGAGGCTTTCAAAATTCTATTTATTGTGCAATTGTTTACAGTGCTTGGAACTGCTTGGAGTGTTATCCTGAAAATTGGGATGTAGTGTAATAAGCAGCAACTGGCCATTGCAATTAATAAATCACAATCTTAACTTAAGGTGCCACATCAACCCAACCCCATCGTGGTTTGCTCAGTAAATCAGAATGAAGCAAATCATGGCCTGGGATGAAAAGCAAGCTCGGACTCGGAAGGGCTTGCCACTTTTTCTAGAAGAGGCCGCCGAGAATCCTACTCTTCATTATCTCACCCAAATAACTCTTGGCCCTATTTTGTTCACATATCGCAAGATAAAATATCTTTCGAGGCTCTGTTTCCTCCCTGGAGTTTTAATAACGGGAACCGGGAACTTTTCATGTTTTGTATCAGCACAAGGGGAACGGCTGAATGAACTGAACGGATATCAGATTTTGTAAAAATAAAAAAAAATCAGTTCATATAAAACGTACCACAAGCGTCGACTAAAATTGCTTACAAACGCAGGTTTTTCGCAGCGCACCAACAGTCCACTTATTTGAAACAGAACCAGAAGCAGAGGGGGTTGGACTTTTTCGTTCTCCTGCTTGAGCGGGGGTGGTGGTGGTGGTGAGGCTGGACTAGAAGACCTCCAAGGTCCCTTCCAGCTCTGTCCCGACTGAAGAACCTCCGCGCGCATCCCCGGAGCGCGGCCGGCGCTCGGCCACAAGGAGGCATCCTGGGACCTCCGCTCGCAGGCCAAGCCTTCGCCGGGAAGGGGGCGGGAGGGGGGGCGGCGAGCCTTCCCTCAAATCTGGGGCAAAGCAACGGGTGGGGGGGGGAGAAAAAAGACCGTCCGGAAGTCGCCAGTCGCCTGGCCGGCAGTGGCGCGCTCGGGGGGCGCTGCGCTGGGAGCGCAAGGCGGAGGCGCCCCTGCAAACGGGAGCAGACGGGAGCGCTGAAAGCACCCCAAAAGACAAAGGAAAAAGGCCAGACCTCCGGACGGCCTTTCGGAACGGGAGGACCGGGTCTCCTGAGAAGCCGCAGCCGCCGAAGGAGCCGGGCAGGAGCGGAGCCCCGGCCGGGACCTTCTCCGCCTTGGGCTGCCTGCCTGGGTCCGGGCATGGCTGGTGCCGCGCCGAGACCTCCGCCCCGGGGCTTGCAGTGGCTCTTCCTGGCCGCCCTGATGGTCCCCTGCGAGGGGCGAGGGGGGCAGCCAGAGGAGGGGGGCGCCGCCTGCTACGGGGGCTTCGACCTCTACTTCATCTTGGACAAGTAAGTGGCCGGGGGTCGCGGCGGCCGTCGGGCGGGACGAGGCCGGGCTGCGCGGGACGCTCCGTCGCGGGAAGGGGCGCAGCAGCCCTGGCAGTTGGTCAAAAGACAGCAGCGGGTTTTTTTCTTTTACCTTTGCTTTGGGGTGCCCAGTTTGGTTGGACAAAAGACGCCTGGCGGGTGCCGCGTTCCTCCTCTTTCCTCCGGAGAAGGTCGGAGGGAAAAGTTTGGCTCCTTCTCCGGTCTCTCTCTTTTTTTTTGCAACGTTGCTTTCTTGGGGAAAAGTGTAGCGAAGAGCGGCTGTCAGCTTTGGCCTCTTTGGTTTAGACTTGCAAACGGCCGTTTGCAAAGGCTTAGTAAAAAATCCCTGGCTGGGCTTCCCTGATGGGATGCCATTCCCGCGGAGCCACCGTTTTAAGATCTCTGAACTCCGGAGTCAGTTCGAAACTTGCTCCCTGGCAGAAAATGCATTGTTGTGATGTGTCTTTTTAATTGTATTTTTAGCCTATTTTTCCTCTTAAGTCTTGAGTCGCTCACTGTTCCTTTGTTCTCCGTTAATGAAATGCACATTCCCTCTTTTTTCTGTTTCTGCTGCTTTTTCTGCAGCTGCAGGAATTGTAGTATCCAGGGAGGAAATAAAATGCTTGCTCATGTTATTTGTCCTACCACTGACATGATGCATTGTGTTTGTGTAAGAGGTTTGGGGCTGTATTCCTTAAATATTGGCCAGATGCATTGAAGGACGAAGCTGTCAGAGAGAGCCTTAACAGTTAATGCCAGACATGTAAAAACAAAACAAAACAAAAAAGTTTTTGTAGAGGCTGAGTTTCCAAAGAGCCACATTTTGCATAGCCCCAAGGCTGTGAAAAGATGATTTGGTGGGTGGATTTAATTATCTTTCTTCCAAAGGGCTGGTTTTTTTTTTTTCCATTTCATGTCAAAAACTATCATGGAGAGCTACCAGTTTGCAGAGAGTCTTGCCTGCAGCACACAGAGTCCTCAAAGAGAAACTCTGGGAGAGTCTGTGAAAGTGGCTTGTTAAATCCCATTTATATGCTATTCCCCCCGCCCAATAGAAACAGTGAATGAGGCTGGGTCCCTTGTCCCCAACTGCTGCCCTTCAGATCAGAGAATCCACAAGGGGAGGCAAAACAAAAAACAAAAAAAACCCCATAGAGGTGACAGATGTGACCTTCCCACGGAGAGACCATCTTGACTTTTTGACCCCATATGAATACCTTCCTGCTTTGGGTGGGTAGGATGGATGATGGTCAGTTGTGTTCTATTAGCAGGTTTCAGCTCGTCCTGCATTTTCAGAGGGGAGGAGAGCTAGAAAGGTTTGTGTGAACTGGGGTTGTGAAGGAAAGATGGGCTGGGCTACCCCTTCCCAAGTAACCTTCTGCATCCAGATTGGGTCGGGGAGATCTTGTGGATGAGTTCCTTTCAGCTTTCCAAGGCTCCTGGAAGGCCTCAGGAGAGACCAGGGGATCCCCTTTGGCATGCATCCTTTATTCAAGGGAATAGTCGGGTTTGCAATAAGTACATCAATCATGGTTAACTATTTCTGTGTCTACTATCAACAACTTCAGGAGACAACAGTTCTGTCCCTAGGATGCTGTACGTTTGATGTGTGTGGCAGGCTGAGCTTTGATGACATCATGGCTGCTCTCTTGACTTTTTTGACCTTACCCTCCAAAAATGCTTGAGCGGTACCAATAGAAATCATCAGAGGTTATTTTGAAAGATGGTCTGTGGCAGTTTTTTATCTTCCCCAGTGCATTTCCAGAATCTGAAAACAATTTTGGTTGGACAACTATCTAACAGTAAATTCACTTTTCTTTTTCTGAGTTCATGCAATGCCTTGAATTGTAAAGTAACTTCAAAAGTTGGGTACACATAAGCTAAGCTACCCCACCCCCCACCCCCCACCCCACCCCCCTCAAACTAAATACAAGAGACTAGATTTTTAACTGGTTGGGTGAAATTGGTTGTGCAAACTGATACACAATGACCTGGAAGGGAGAGCGCGAATTATGTAAAGAAAAGAGAGAGGCCTTTGTTCTCCAGGACAGCAGCAGCAGCAGGGAAAGCGATTCTTGTTTCCTGCAACTGGAGGGAAGTGTTGCCTGCAGATCTTTGTGTTTTCATTTCAGTCCAAAATTTCCTTCCGAGTGACAAGTTTCGTGCCTTTGCTTCTGGGAAGGCTTTCTCAACCTGGCGCCCTCCAGATGTGCAAGGCTGCATCTCCTACTCCCTGCCAGCGGTCTGTGAGGGGGAAGGGGAAGGGGTAGAAGCCAAACCCACCTGGATAAAGTGGTCATAAAACACTCTGAGCTTCCTGGGCTCAGAAAAGGCCAGCTTAATTAAAGGGGCATCTGTGTATTCTGCAGCACTAAGTCTGCTTCCAAGGGAAAATAATTGAGGAGAGAGATGGAATGGAGGAAGAACCAAAGGGAGAAGAATTTGGGGCAGGCAAGATTGATACCTGCGGAGGAGAAATGCAGGTATTTCCAGGACTTGCAAAGCCACCTGTATGGAACACCTAAGAAGATCAGAAGAAGCTGAAATATATGGATGGATGGATGGATGATTGGTTAGTTGGTTGTCAGGCCTGCATCTTCTCTGTTGGCACTCCCAAACAATCACATAGTGAGGAGTGGCTGGATTTGAGTGACACACGGAGCCACATACCAGCCAATGGCAGACTTAGCCTGGTGTCTTGTGGGTTCCTGGTCCGTTTTAGTTTATGATTCAGTGTATTGGGCAAACCTTGAAAAACTGAATGAACATGGGATAATCAGGTCTACAAAGATGTCCAATATTTAAATCACTCCTTTAATTAGTGGAGGTATAAGGCATTGGTGGCTGAATCTGCTGTGCATTGGGTGGTGGATGGTAATCTTTTCCCTCAGCCAGGGAGGGTCCATGGGGAGGGTCCTAAAAATCAAGATGGAGGTCCCAGTTGTACAATCAAAATTCCTCCCTTTTTTTACATGCCTCCCAGAGCATGTGAAACGGGAAAAGGTTTAGTTGTGTGGATGCAACCGCCATGTTGTCTTTTCGGAGCCTCCTAATGCAAATTTTACTTACTTTCCTTCTTGCCCTAGGCTTTGATAGCATGAGGAGACTTGAAGTGGGGTGTTGGTGGTTTAAGGTGGATATGTGGAAAGGGGAAAATAGATTCTTGTAACTAGGGAATCTGAGGGAAAGCTCAGATTCCCGGATGCTGGGCACTGTGGTCTTAATCCAGATCAGATCATTGTTTTCAATGTCAAGGCAGTAAGTTCTAAAGGGTTGAGTAGCATGTAAAGAACCCAGTAAAAAAAAAAAAGGAAGTAGAGGGGGATGGTTCACATCTGAGACCCAGCAGAACTTGTTGATTCTCTGATTGACTGGACAGAGAAAAGCGTGGGCCCATTGCATATTCCTACTCTCTCCTCCTTTGAATGGAGCCTTGAACCCTGAGCTTGAAAACGGTCCTTCCCCATTTCTTTTCCACAAGGTGTCCTGGAACCATATTCCTCCTTGCAGCTGCAATGAAAGCTGACAAACTGTTGCTCATGTTAACATAAATATTAACTAACTGTCATGGTTCCAGACAGATGAAACTCTTCAAAGAACTTTGAGGCATTGTTTACCTTAAAGAATCTTTATTCAAGTAGCATAGCATCAGCATGTACATAAGCAAAGCCAAAATCTGAATTCCCTCCCCTGAGCACATAGTATCCAAGCACAATTCTCTCCTCTAATTAACAGTCATAAATCACATTCTCTGCCATTTCTTATCATCTCATTTCAAAAAACCTTGGTTCTCACCCTTATACAGTATTGTTATGTCTAACTAAATTCCCATGCACATTTCTCCTCCTCCCCCCCAGTATCATCTAATTCTAACTCTAAGAGTAAAACATAAAGAAAAATGGCTGCATCTCCATATGTTGTCAAAGCAAGAACATCCAATGTTAGCAGCGTTGACACTAACATTCCATCTGCATGTTGGTTCCAAAGCAAAGTGGGTGCTCAATATTTTGCATTCAAGACCCTTCTCTTACATAGGCATGGAATTCACACACCACATGTGAAGCCACAAACTCTTTGTGGAGTAGACTTCATGCACTGCGTTAAGCTGCAAAGCATGACCCGCGGACCACAATAGCGGAGCGCACAAAGTGCATGAAGCCCAACCTAAAAGAACATGTGAATGAAGCCAAAGACCTGAGAGAATGGTGAAGGGGTTGGAGACCGATGCTGAAGGGAGGAAAAGCAGAGATAAACAGGGATAACTTACGCAGAAGGATGTACATCAATTTTTTCAGTGAGTCTACCAAATGCTTCTCTGTCTCAGGGGAATTGAACAAAACTAAATTTCATAATGTTCCACAGTCGAAGGCTACCCAGCAGTTGTTTTTCGTGTGATGAGTGTTAACAAGCAATTGTATTTTTCTTCTGGCTAAATATGTCTAAGATGTGTTAGCTTTGATTATCACAAGCATCCTTTCTCCAAGCCCATCCCTTAACTAAGACTCTGGCAGGGAGACCCAGCCTGGCTGTCTTGGCTCATCTGGGTTGGCCCCCTAATAGTTGTCAGTTGTGCCTGTTTGGGGAGGTTCATTTTCCCTGAATTATTTCTGAGCCTTTCTGAGATTTTACGCTAGATTGTATTTGGGGACAAGAAGGTTCAAAAGAGGCCAAGGGCCACTTGAGTCATGGTGGCCTTGGAGCCTGATGAAGCAAAAGGCATCTTAGCTTGCAGCAAATGACTAGTGCAGGGGTAGGCAACCTTGGCTCTTTTAGGACTCGTGGACTTCAACTCCCAGAATTCCACAAAAACAGTCATTGCAGCCAAAAAAAGAAAACAGCCCCGTCATCAATGAAACCAATAGTTCATTGGTTTCACTTAAAGAGCGATTAAGGCAGCTGATGGAAAGGCCAACAGAGCAATCAAAATCAAGGAAAAGATAAATCATTTGCTTCAAAATGCAACATTAGCTTACACAAACTCTCAATTCCCAGATCATTTTTAAATGTTTAATCCCTTTAGCTATGGCAATCTTTTTTTCCCCCCTCCATTTCTTTTTGGCAAAAATCTTTGGGTTTTTGAGTTCTTCGCTCAATCTGTGCACAGAAGGGAAAACATCTTCCTCAAAATGACTCCCCCCCCCCGTTTCTTTGCCGGTATGCAACCTAGGAGGTTTTTCTATGCAAGGCTTTGTGTGGGAAGATCTCATGGAAAAAAGAGCTGTAATTTTAGATGTTTGGATTCTTGTTCCAAGTGGAGAAAAAAAGCTTCAAGATATAGTTATGTGGCGAATTCAAGAAGTGGTGTGTAACTCAGAAACCACCCAGAACACAAATCCTTCGTCCGGGGAGACCAGGCTCAGCCCCTGAGTTCATCCGTGGCCCCTCTGGTCGCTGGGTCCGAGGCAGGCCGTGTCCTTCCCTTCTGCTTCCGGCCTCTTGCTTAAAACCGTGGAAAATCAATCAAGCTTTCGTCCGTCCTCGGTGCTTCTGGTCCTCAGCTGCCTCTCTGCAAAGGGAGCAAAATGTGGAAGCTTTTTTGGGCAGTCCAGTACAAGAGATCTCAAAGGAAGGGCAGCTACTGGGGTTGGTCAAAAAAGTCAAAATGGCATCTTCAGTTGCATCATCGCCGCGGCCATCTTGGCAGCTTTTGAGCTTTCCCTGGGGACATCTCGCTCACAAGCCAGGATCTGAGCAAGGGATGGTAGTACCCTGAGTTTCTGGGGTTTGAGGAGCGCTATTTCCAAGGAGGGAACAAAGACGTGTTTATTACTAAAATTCACATCTTCATAAAGCTAGTGTGATTTATTGTAATTCTTGGTAAAAAAAATGTATACAGATATAAAATTGCAAAAAAAGGTAGTTTTTATTTGAAGAAATCTGCACCTTAATGCACAAAGCATTTAGGGCAAACTTTTTTTTGCAAAAACTAAACGTGTATATTTTGAAAAAAATGACTATAAAATTAGAAATTGCTCTATTCTCACCCATTTGCAGATGTGGCTTATCATTCTTGCTTATTTATATGACTCAAAATAATTTGCTATCCGTCTTTTTCTGTGATCTGTATTAAAAGGTAGCGTGGTTTTGTGCAGACCCTATATCATTTCAAACAAGTGGCTGTCCAATCTCTTCTTCTCATGTTGCACACATCACGATGTCTTTGCATCAATTTTGCAGATTACACAATTCTCTTAATTTGCCGCTCCTGATTCCTTTCTCTGGATGCTTTGTGGACAGGAAAGAAAAAAGAGTGAATTCTGCTGGAATTACTGCTTTCCCCAGCAAATCCCTTCCTGGGTGTGGATGCATCAGAATGACCTGCCTTGCAAATCTAAGAGGGGATTTATTTCCAAACTGGTTTGGACTATGAGTAAACTCTACAAAGCAGGAAAGCAAACCGTGGTTTAATCCTACAACTATTTTTTCTACATGTGATGAACTTCAGAGTTTAATTTCTCTGCAGAGATCTTTCAAACACAATTTGGGTTAGCAAAGCTTTATACGCCAAGTATATTCAATGGATGAGTCAGAAAACAGAAATCTGGCTACATTGACTCCTGTTATTAGATTAAAAGAAGGAAGACAATTGAGAATGGTGACCTATTTGGATTAATGGAAGGTGAAACGATCTATCATTTCTAAACACCCAATTTCTTTTACATGTCATAGTGAATTATCTTGAGTTTTATGCTGAATAATCAAGTTTAAAGAAATGCTTTTGAACAAGAAAAGGCTTGTTGGGTTCTTCTATAATTGGCAGGCTTTGTTTTGTGGCATCAAATGCAGCTTGAAATCACCGCTTCAGATGGCATTTCAAAACATCTAAAGATGGACAGCAAAAAGAGAGTGAGGGGTTTTCAAGAAAAGGCCAGACAACCATTTGTCTGGAATGGAATAAAGTCTCCTGCCTTGAGCAGGGGTTGGACTAGTCACTAGAAGACCTCCAAGATCCCTTCCAGCCTTAGGATGCTATGAGAAGCAGCTCAAGGACTCTTGCTTTAATGAGGCCCAAGGAATCCTTATCATCATCATCATCATCATCATCATCATCATCATGATTAGGGGGCTGGAGGCTAACACATACGAACACTGGTGTCTAAAGATGGACAGTGTGAATGCAGCAAAAAGAGAGCTGAGGGTTTTCAAGAAAAGTCTAGTCTAATAAAAAGAAGGACTAGGGGAGACATGATAGCAGTCTTCCAATATTTGAGAGGCTGCCACAAAGACAAAGGGGTCAACCTATTTTCCAAAGCATCAGAGGACAGGACAAGAAACAATGGTTGGAAACTAACCAAGGAGAGAAACAAGCTAGAACTACGAAGACATTTAAGCAATGGAATAGCTTGCCTTCAGAAGCTGTGAGTGCTCCTTCACTGGAGGCTTTCAAAAAGAGACTGGACAACCATTTGTGCGGAAAGATATATGGGGAAAACCGAATTCAATTAAAAATTGTGGTTCACTTAACAACCAATGCAAAAAAGTTTGTAAAAATGGGCATCACTCACTTAACTGCCTAGCAACAGAAATTCTGATCCCAATTGTGGTCATACGTTGAGGACTACCTGTCCAGGGAGAATGCCGAACAAAAACAAACAAACAAACAAACACAACATTGCCCCTTTGTACCTATGAGCCATGTCAACATGCCTTCAAAATGGGTGGGGCTTGACTGCCATCACCACCCTCTGGCTTTTTTGGATTTCCCCCCACCCTATGGATAAAGGTATCCCACTTCCTTTCCATCCTCTGCGGTCCTCTCCCTTCAACACCCACGCAGGTCCTTGGTGATTCTAGTTTACTCACTGGCCACATCAAGATATATTTTGTCTTGTATTTGCCTTTACCGCAATAATGACCAAGTCTTTGCAGTTTTCACATGAGGAAGGGGTAGGTAAGCAATGCACATGGGGAGACTTATATACTTTTAAAAAGACAACAAAACATTGGTTTTTTTTCTAGCTTCTTCCCCAAAAGAGCACTATTACACCACTCACGAGCCAATCTCATGGTTTCAAAAATTACAGATTATTATATCAATCAATAGGGTCCATTCCCAAAGCAAATGTCTCCATAAAACCATCCTTAAAAAAGCAGCAACCCAAACATTTCTATAATGAAGTCAATATTCTCTGGCATGATCTCTTTTCCAGATCAGGAAGTGTCCTACACCACTGGAGTGAAATCTATTACTTTGTGGAACATCTGGCTCACAAATTTATAAGGTAAGAAGTTATGGCCAGCTGACAGCATAAGATATGGGTTGCAGTGGGCTGAACATCTGCCTTCAGTCTCTGCATGTTTACTCCAAAGTAAAGGCCAGAGTTTTCAGTGGGGCCTGCTCTAGCCATAGGATTCACTAGAGGAAACATACTCAAGTTTGTTGATTGTAGCCTTCATGTCTAATCATGATGTAAACTAAAAGAAAATCGAGCAGATGTTCTTTTCAGTATCAGCAGTAGAATCCTTCAGGTTTCTGGGTCCTGTACTGTAATCTCTTAGGATTTGAAATGGACGCCTAACATTAGAACCATCATTAAAAAGGCACAACAAAGAATGTTCTTCTTGCGTCAACTCAGAAAGTTCAGACTGCCCCAGGCACTGCTGATACAGTTCTACAGAAGAATTATTGAATCTGTCATTTGCACTTCTATATAATTGTCTGGTTTGGTACAGCAGCCAAACAGGATAGGGACAGACTTCAGTGGATAGTTAGGATTGCAGAAAAAATCATTGCAAGCAGCCTGCCTTCCATCGAAGACCTGCAGATTGCACGGGTCAGAAAGAGGGCTCAGAAAATATCTACAGACTCCTCCCATCCTGGACATAAACTGTTTTAACTCCTCCCCTTTGGATGGCACTATAGGATATTGCATGCCAAAGCACCTAGACACAGAGACAATTTTTT